AGAGAGAGAGAGAGAGAGAGAGAGAGAGAGAGAGAGAGAGAGAGAGAGAGAGAGAGAGAGAGAGAGAGAGAGAATGCGGTTGCAAAAGGAGTTTGTTGGCGGAGGAAGGTGGACGATAGTACGGAGCAAGAAGGTGATGGCACACTGTGAAGAAGGATATGGAGATCTTGCCGAGGCAGGGGATGATGTCTGAGGAAAGGCTGGCGGGTTATGGCCTGGAAAATAATGGATTCATGTTCTTTGTTTCTCCTGTGCTTATTACTTCTCGAATCATTGTTTTGTTTTCTGAGTGCTCGGCCTTTTATAATCATGGGGCCCGAAAGGCGCGCGGGTTATGGCCTGGAAAATAATGGATTCATGTTCTTTGTTTCTCCTACGCTTATTACTTCTCGAATCGTTTTTTTGTTTTCTGAGTGCACGGCCTTTTATAATCATGGGGCCCGAAAGGCGCGCAATCAAAACGAGTCAGCATCATGCAGGAGACGGTCCAAAGGGGAGGGCCTGTGAGATGCAAGGGAGCAGAGTTTTGTGGTCGCATTCACGCTAAGAGGAGGAGGAGGAGGAGGAGGAGAAGAAGGGAGGGAAAAAAAGCCGTAGGAAGAAGGGGGGAAGAGGCGTCGAAGAGAGGATGGTCATCCGATTGTACTGTGTTTTCGTCTGTCCTTCAACCGTGTTTTTTTCTCAGTTGCACCTTTTTTTTTTTAAAAAAGGCAGCAGCATGCCAGAGGCTGAGGGGGTGTGTGGGTTGGTTGTGATGGATGACCTGTGCAGTTCTCCGCACATCGTGGATGCCTATCTGTCGTTTGATGTACGTTCAGATCCCAATGAATGATCTGGCGCTTTCTTCGGTTTTGTTGGTGCTGTCTTTTCTCTTGTGCGCTTTCTTTTCTTTCCTTTTTCTTCACCATGGCGATTTCCGTTCCTCCCCCTTCCCCTCTCCCCCCCCCCCCCCCCCCCCCCCCCCCTCCTGTTTTTGGAGAACATACGTTTGCTGTATACACTTTATCCTCATCCGTGTGAAAGCTATGGCGTTTTTTGCTATACATCCACATCTGTCGGGACTCCTCGCCTCCCCTGTATGTACCCATGTTTTTTTTTTTGTTGTTGTTTTTAAATTCCCCTTCTCCGGAAGAAGTGTTTCCTGTGATGATTTCTTGGACCGGAGGGACTCTGCTGACGAGCCCGAGGGATCGTTGACAAGGTGGAAGAAGTCGTGTGCTAAGACCTGCAATCCTTCTCCCCTAGTGACTATGCTTGCCTTTTTTTTTTTTTTTTTTTTTTTTGGG